CTCTGGGTGCACCCCCATGCACTCCTCGGAGCGTCCTCCCTCGGCCTCGCCTTCCCGGCTCTCGGTGCACACCCATGCACTCCTCAGAGCATCCTCGCTCGGCCTCACCCTCCTGGCTCTTGGTGCACACCCATGCACTCCTCGGAGCGTCCTCACTCGGCCTCGTCCTCCTGGCTCTCGGTGCACACCCATGCACTCCTTAGAGCGTCCTCGCTCAGCCTCGCCCTCCCGGCTCTTGGTGCACACACACCCATGCACTCCTTAGAGCGTCCTCACTCGGCCTCACCCTCCTGGCTCTCGGTGCACACCATGTACTCCTTAGAGCATCCTCGCTCGGCCTGGCCCTCCCGGCTCTCGGTGCACACATACCCATGCACTTCTTGGAGCGTCCTGGCTCAGCCTGATACCATTGCTCTAGAATTCACCTTGCCCCAAAGGGGAGTCTAAAGTTATCCCCAGTGAGCTCCAAGGTCCAGATCTCTGGATTAGAAATAAGTCCTCAGGGTTATCAGGTCCTGGAGCTGAATCCCACCCTTGCCTAGTCCCGGTAAGTGACAGAAGGGCACCGTGTAATCAAGACGTGTCTCTGATCTGAATGTGTGAGCATCAGACTCGTGTCACTGTCAGGGGCAGGTGAGTTTGCCGGGCGGTGGGAGGTGGTCCACAGTGGCTCCATCACCTGATCAGCCAGCCCTCACCAAGGCCCCTCTGTTTCCGTGGCCTCAGTGGCCACGGCAGAGAGGCCAGCAGGGCCTGCTCGTCTGAGCTCTAGCCTTCGGGGCTGTGCCGTTGTGCCTTTATAGGGCCCAGTCTCTGCCGTAGGGACTGTGTGATCTCAGGGCCCCTGTGCTTGGACTCAGCCCGACGGTAACTCATGGGAAGCTTGCGGTGCCAGTAGAGGAGGTGCTCGTAACCCTGTTCACTACCAATGGACAGCCAGGACAGTTCAATATTTGACCTTTGTCCTAGTCACCGTCATTTCTGTCTCCCTGTAAGTCCTGGGTCTTCGGGAAAGTCACGACTTGTTTTTCTATACAAAAATGCGTCATGGGTCTTCTGACAACCCGGCAGAGTGAGTTGGGGTATGAGCCTGCCTCATCACGGTTCCTCAGGACACGGCAGACCTGGGGCTGCGGGGGTAAAGGCTGCCTGCTTCCCAGCCCAGGCCGCGCCGGCCCGTGCCGCTTCCCAGCCCAGGCCGCGTCGGCCCGTGCCGCTTCCTGAGGGAGCACCCCCCAGGTCTGGAAGAGGTCTGGGAGGGTAGGCATCCCATGTTCCTTTACCTCTCCCATGAACCTTACCCTCCACACTTGTCCAGCTCTTTATCTTAGCATGGGTTAACTCTAGCTCAGAACAGTAAATGGAACTTTGGCAACTCAACAGGGAAACATTGTCCAAATCTCAGAAGGTCTCATGTCCTTGGTTATAGGTTGAAAGATATTTCTTAGCAAAATTGGTATGTTCTTTTATTCCCCACTTTCATATGGGCCAAATACTGAGAAAAGTAAGAAATACGTTTTACTTAACTTAAAAAAACCAACCAACCAACCAAACCAGCAAACAAAAAACCAGCCCCTCAATGTCCCAGCAGTTGAGCACCAAGGCACAGCAGGTGCTAATTTGCCTAGTCGTGAAGCTACTGTCAAGGGTTGGCACTTTTCAGCTTAAAGGTCGTTGACAGGTCATCCTCAGCCCACCCCTGTCACTGGCTAGCCCCGTCTCCCTCAGACTCTGCTGGGCAGGGGTCTGGGAGACCCAGAGACAGCAGATGTTCTCCCAGATGTGTGGGTTTCGGTGGTTACTGTTTTGCTGACCATTTTTAAAAATGTTTACACTTTTTAGTTTCGTTATAGGGCACATGCACTCCCAAGGGAGAGAGGGAGAAAGTGCCCCCGGAGTCACCCACGCCACAAGCCCTTCTCCCCTCTTCACTGTGGACTTAGGCACACACGCACACGTACCCGGCATGTTTTCCAAGCTGCTGGGTCTGGAACTGGAACCGGGACCACACAGCTGGCCCTGTGGGACCCGGTACCTTTACCTCTGTGCCGCCACCTGGCTGGCAGCTCTCCCTCTCGGCTATGTCTGCCTCTGTGCTTTGAGATGGTTGCGTCTTCCTAGGCGTTTCAGCCCTCTTCCCCATGGGTAGTCACCAAGTCTTGTTCATTCCCATTTTATTGTGTTCCTATAAACCGTGCACACAAGAAACGCTGTCTTTAGAATCCTTGCCTGAATTCAGGACCAGCAGTTGGCGTAATGGCTATGTCACTGGACTCCCAAGTAGTTGACTGCGGTTTGAGTCCCGGACCCGGTGGCTTAAACTCATGCTGGCCGTATATGCGTGCGTGCCCAAGATCCTGAGAGGAGAATGGAGGAGAAGGGATTGCGGCGTGGCCAACCTCCTGGGGGGTAATTTCTCCCTTTCTGGCTCTCTGGTCAACGCACGTGCCCTGTAGCAAAAAAAAAAAAAGGGGGGGAGAATCTTTGCCTGAATTCATGTTTTGTTTTAATAAATGGAGGACCTTGGACAATCATTAAGAACTTTCTTAATTCCTCTTAATTCTTCCTTTCCCCCTTGTCTGGAACAGGACCCGTTATGATGTTTGATAGCTTCCTTTCGGGTCTGTATTTAGGGTGCAGTCACATATTCATGATACAGGAAGGAAATTTGTAAATGGCAGATTTTTATAAAATTCCAATTCTGTTTATGTTGCTAAAATAATTATGTTACTATTACTTATTAATTACTTTATACCACTTTAAAATTAATGTAATGCTATTCCATTTCTTCCTACAGTTCTTTCTTTTCTTCTTACAAATTTAAAACACACATTTTGAGGACAGGCCTTCCTTCTGTACAGTCTTGTCTTTCTTCGTTCCTGGCCTGGACACTGGCCAGCCTCCCCTCTCTCCCTGGTAGTTCGACGTGTCCTGGGCCGACTGTGAAGACACCCTTTGGTCACTACTGTGGTGGCACTCCATTTTCTTTTTATGAAGGACAGTGACTCGGCCTGGTTCTCTCAACATTGGAAACATTACTACTGATGCCTCGTTAGATTTCTTGAGCCTCCTCAGACATGCCTCCCATCCCCGTGCCCGGCTCTGCCTCGCTCTGTTCTAGATGCTCTGCAGGGAGTCCACCCTGTTTGTTTCTTGCTGGAGACCTGCTCCACTTGGGATGTCCTGAATGCAAGTGCAGCCCATCTGTCACATTGCCCGGAACACATCTTTTTAAACCAGAGCACAATACCTTCTTTATCCAATTTCTCCTTAAAGAAAATAACTAGTGTTTTTTATCCTTCACATTAGGGCTAGGGCATCCCTAGTTCTCTCTTGATCCAGTTTGCAGAATAAATCCTGCCTCTCAGTGAGAGCTTGTGGATGGGAATCTAGGTCTTAGGGCCTCTGAACTAGATTCCCTTCTTCATACCTGTGAGTTGGTTTATATTAGACCCAAGTGAGGGCTGAAGCCTTAAGGAGTTGAGGGATATTTTTGGATGCCCAGAAAAAATTGACCAAGTTCATGGAAGTGCTTGCTTTAAAAAATCTAAGGGAGACTTTATGACCAACTAGGCCAGCTGGCTAGTAAGGTAGAGTAAGCCGTGGTCAATGGTAATGACTCCCTTCCAGGAGGGTTCCAGAGGGCCCAGGAAGACAGCAGGAGCCCTCCCAGTGGAGTGGGCGGGTCTGGGCTTCCTGGTGCTCACGTGCCCTTTGCCTTGAGTTGCAGGAAGAGCAGACACCGCTGCACATCGCCTCCCGCCTGGGGAAGACGGAGATCGTCCAGCTCCTGCTTCAGCACATGGCCCACCCGGACGCGGCCACCACCAATGGGTACACACCCCTGCACATCTCGGCCCGCGAAGGCCAGGTGGACGTGGCGGGCGTCCTCCTGGAGGCTGGCGCTGCCCACTCCTTGCCCACCAAGGTAAGGGGTGCCGGTCGGCGCCTGTTCTCTGCACCTGGAGTGTCCAAGGGGCAGATCTCCTCCAGGCCTCTTACTCTTGTTCCGAATATTTTAGACTTATAGTCTAAACGCTCAAGGGGGCCTGTAAGATCTCGTGAAATATCCTCAGTGAAGGTGCTGGATTCCAACGTGTGAATTCATGCCAGTGCTGTTGCCAGTACAGACCTCGAGCACCGTGAGAGACAACTTCCATAGAGAAGAGCCTCTCTGCCCCCTTCCCGTCATAAATCTGTGGGGTATTCTCAACAGGGAAAGAAGATGCCCAAACACACGGAATGGTTGTGCCAATGAGGAAGAGTGCCCTGCTTGATTTTGCTGAGTCGGAGTGAAGCTCACTCTGCTTTATGCCGTCCCCCGCCCCCGCCCCGTATCAGCCATCCTGTCTGGCAGTCCCGTTCCCATTCCGATTTCTCATCTTTCTCCTACCAATGACCCCTTTCCTGCATACTTACAGTGTATGAGCAGCCATGCTGAAGATGCACACTTTTTAAGTTGTTACTGATATTGACCCAAGGATATGTACTAGCCTGAATTGAATTTATATTCAGAGTTTTATGATAATCATACTTTTTCCAGTCTATTTGAAATTTTTATGTGTAGGTAACTTAGAATAAAATAAGAGTGTGCTCAGCTAATTAGTACAGAAGAGCAGAAAAAATGAGGCAAGTGGGAGTCTGGAATGAGTCAGTTTGTCACAAGACAAAATAGTCCCCACAGGTACAATATCAAGTCAGTTAACAAGCGACCAGCTCAGTCTGCTTACGATGAAGAGGCATGGCCGTGTCTGAGGAACAGGGCAGCCTCTGTCCTCGGAGATGCGGAACAGCCACGAGGGGCCGGTCGGTGGCCGTGGCTGGCATTTGGACATAAATAGATAACTGCAAGTTTGGAAATGTGAAAAGTTGAAAATATTTTTAAAAATTATTTTCCTGTAAAAAACAGAAACTGAGCAGCAAACACACTAACAGTAGCAGTAGCCCCAGCGAGGCCTGGCCACCTGTGTGGATGCGGCGTGAGGAGGGAAGGCTGGTGTGGCGCACCAAGGGGCATTCCACACAGTCCCTTGTCTTCAAAGACAGTTAGGAGTACTTAAATCCGCGGGAATCAGGCCAGTGACACGGACACAACCACAGAACAGCAGGCCGACCGTGCGGCGCACTGGCTGACAGCAACCACGCCCCAGGGCCACTGCTGCCGAACACCCTGAAACTCGGGCGTCAGGGGTCCTGCTGGGTCTACCCAGCGCACGTGAGACGCTGTAGCTGCTCCCCCATCTCCATGTGTTTCCGTGGTGAAGATTCGACGTAGCTTTATCTAACCAGAGTTTCCAAATTCACTGTTGCAGCCGGACTTTGAGGCTAGTTTACTTTTTCTTGTCCATCCTGTGGTTTGTCTCAGTAAACTCTGCCTTGTCCTGGTGTCACCCACCCTTGTGTGCATCGAGTGAGGGACAGGTGTCAGTGTCTGGGATGGAGGCAAGAAAGAAGAGACATTTCCGACATTTGTCCCAACTGGGGCAGAGTCCAAAGGGTCACTCTCTCCCAAGATTTTATTAGTCCCAAATCTTAACACAAGAGGCCAAAAGAAAAACATCCTCTTACTTAAAAGTAATGCATCTGGCGACATGGGGGAGGGCGGAACTGTGGGGAGATGCTTCTCAGTGGGGGTTTGTGTGGCCCCAGAGGCAGTACCTCAGCGCCTAACCCAGACCTGCTCTCTGCATGTGTACACAGACTCTGCTCGGAGCAGGGTTTCCCATCCTACCTCAGGCCAGAAGACAGGTTAAGCTGACTGGCCACGAGGAAGGTTTGCGATCTCAGCGTAGGAACTAGCCATGTTGGAGACCCTGTCTCTGTAACATACTGGCAATTCCAGAGCAGGGCTATTGGTCAGGCACAGGGACATACAACATGCCTGGGACATGTACCGGACAACAGTCTAAAAGCTTTCAAGCTGTGTGTGTCTGAGTCTTGTTAACCAGCCCAGCCTCCTGCCCGCTGCAGAACATACTTTACAAGAGGAATCTGGTTTTCGACCACGTGGGTCTTCTGGGGAAGGCAGTGGCAATCAGCATGGGAGGGACTCTTTTTGAGTAAGATTTTTTTTTTTTTTTTTTTTTTTTGAGATTGCAGACCATGTGTCTTGCTGTTTCTGTAGACAATATATAACTGAATCACAAACTATCCTTTTACCATGACTGCCAAAATATTCTAAAATTTAAATGAAGAAATTTGAAATTCAGGTGTTATGAAAAGGATTGAAAGAGAGGGTGGCTATTGTCTCAGTTCATTTTATGTTAGAGGCAAGAAAACGCCTTTTTTCCCACTCACAGATCTGTCATTTTCCCGTCACTAGGGCTTTTAAAAATACCAAACCTATAAAGTGAAATTTCAGTCTCTAAGCCCTTAAAATAAAATTCCTTTTGTTTGGTCTACCAAGCCAAACTTCTATATGTTAAATTTCAGCCTTCACCATAGTCGTGCTTATGCTTACGGTATTTAATGATACCAGCATCTTGTCCAAATGGACAGTCAACATAGTTGCTTACAATGTTAACAAAACGAAAACCAGTTTTTAGAAATCGGAACGTAAGTGCTGAGTTTGACTTCTGTCCCTCACGTCCACAGAAGGGCTTTACTCCACTGCACGTGGCTGCCAAGTACGGAAGCCTGGATGTGGCGAAACTCCTGCTGCAACGCCGGGCGGCTGCAGACTCTGCAGGGAAGGTGAGCCTTCAGCCCTGCGCTGCAGGGGTGTGTGTGGACACGTGGCAATCCATGAAGGTATCTCTGTCTCTTCCGAGAGAGAGGAGCGTCGCTGAGCAGGGCGCGTGGAGGAGAGTCTGCTGCAGCCTTGGGAGCATTGCGCTGTACCTCCAGTGTGCACCCTCTGTTACAGGGAGGTATTTGCTCTAGGGTGTGCACTCTCACCAGAGAGACAGACAGAAAGTGAGAGATCACCCCCTGGGGTGGCCATGCTGCAATTCCTTCCCCTCCATTCTCCTCTTGGGTGCATGTGCACATGCCCAGTGTGAGTTTCAATCCTCTGGGTCCGGACTCAACCAGGCCAGCCACGTGGGAGTCCGGCGAGGTACCCATTGCCCCATCTGCTGGTCCCAGTGTGTGTTCCTGCCTCCAGCAAGTTGGAGCTCTGCAGTGCTGGCATGTCTTCTGTCAAACTTTCGGCCCCTATCCTGTTTTTCTAGTTGTAAACTCCACCAATCATTTCGATTTCAGTTGCATTTCTAATGTGAAAATTATTAGCTGTGTATTTATTTTGCTTTTCTTCTATTGACTGTATTAATTAATTAACACACGTAACTGACGTTGATTTCCTGAACCTTGGTGGCTCGGGCAGCTAATGCTGGTCTACCAGTGCTGACTCCCAACGCTCCTTTGCAGAATGGCCTCACCCCGCTCCATGTTGCTGCTCATTATGACAACCAGAAGGTGGCGCTGCTGCTGCTGGAGAAGGGCGCGTCCCCGCACGCCACTGCCAAGGTGGGGACTGGACCCCAGCATTGCGCTGGAGTTCGTGGGGCTGGTTTTCCAAACATGAGGTGTGGTTTCACTATAGTGCGAGCTCCTCCTGGTAGCTTTGTATGATACCTGTTTCTGCATTCCTACCAGTTGCTCGGACTCCACCTGATAGGGGGTTTTGAAAGTCAGCAGCTATTAACAGGGTCTGCCCATAACCCAGAAGAGATGACTCTTCCTCCCACATTCGCACCACAGAGGATGCAGGCTGGGTGTGAGAGGCCAAGTGTATTGCAGGCACTAGGGGTCCTTCTCCCCTGTGGACAGAAGGCTGTGGTGCAATGTACCCGTACATGCTCAGTCTTTTTTTGAGAGATTTTTGCTCTAGTGCACGTGTGCACACTAGACAGACAAAGAAGCAAGTGAGAAATCACCCCCTCGGGGGGATGGCCATGCCACAATCCCTTCTCTTTCATTCTCCTCTCAGGATTTTGGGCATGCACTTACATGCACCCAGTGTGCGATTTAAGCTGCTGGGTCCGGGACTCGAACTGCGGTTGGCTATGTGGAAGTACAGCACCTTACCCACTATGCCACCTGCTGGCCCCTAGTCTCATTGTTTTAGAGACTCTAGACTTTCAACTGTGCTGTATGACTGTGTCTTTGTAAGTGTTTTCCCTGTGAGCTCCAGTGTGTCCCTTTAGCCCCCGGATTAAGAGTGTGTTGGTGTATATAGGACCAACGTCCAGGCTTTTCCCACTCCGAAGTTGCCCCTTTATTACACCGGAAATACATGTGAGTATTGCAGCATACATAAGTCGTCATGCTTCTTTCATTCATTCATTCATTCAACAAACATATGTTGAGAACATATCAGAATTATTTCAAAATAAAAAGATACTGACTGTGGCAGGGGAATATTCATGCTGTATTAGATGACATTTAAAAGCAGCAACGGCCATTACTGTACTAGACACCACTCCTAGCATCTTAATGTGATATCTCATTTTTAAGAAATTTCTTCATATCTTTCATGAAAGATAGAGTGAGATCTCTTGATTCCTGAAAGGATCTGAAAGGGTCTCTCCATCCCACAACCATGCCCTGGGCTCCTAGCCAGGATCACGAGCACCCCGGATGCAACTGGATGTGCAGGAAGCAGAGCCTGAGCCTCCCTGTGGCTCTGCACCGCAGTGGCAGCCTCTGAGGCCAGGCCACAGTCTCTGACTTAATCTCGTGGGAGACCCACTGTGATGACATCCATCACAGGTGAGGAGTGAGCTTCCAGTATGGCAGGTTAGGTTGTGTACTTGTGTGGCCAGGATTAGAGCTAGGCTTTGACCGTAGGCAGCAGGCTCAGAGCAGGACTCTTAGCACTAGGGTTATCAGATCCCAAAGCAGTGGAGGGAGATTCGTTCCACTTTTATTATCCAGATATATGCAGATGAGCACTCACAGTTCTATTCAAATTATGCATATTCTACATATATAATAAAATGACATGCTAAATATATAAATATGTCCTGTGGGATGCCATACATTTTGCACACAAACATGTATATGAGGAAATTCCACGGGCATGTACAACCGTGTGCATGCCCACAAACCCTGCGTACCGCTATGGCACAGTATGCCAGCGCTTTATCATATGGGCTGCACTTTTGTAATCACACGCAGCATTCCTATTCCTTTACACGCATTCTCACATGGTCACATCAGCTCTGCACTTATTTTATGTCCTTCTTCACACTAGAGTATAAACTACTTGATAAGAGTGATCTCGTATTGAGTTGCATGTCGCTGTTGTGTCATACATGACATGATGTGGGCTGGATGAGATTTGGATGAAAGAGTGAAGACCGAGCAACTATTTCAGTAGAATATTTCAGTAGAATATAAAATATTCCATTAATATGCCAGCGTTTTTTTTTTTTTTTTAAGTTTATTCATTTATTTCTCCAGAGAGAGAGAAACAGAGGGATGAGCAGCAGCCAGGTCTCCATGCTGTGCCCACTCTAGCATCAGTGGCCCGGCCCACAGGTCCATGTGCCTGTGTGACATGCCCAGGGAGGTCCTGGGACAGAAGCCCAGACTGTGGACCAGCTGTGCTGACACCACCTGGGCCCACCCTAATTTCCCTCTAGCTTTCCAGCTGACCATTCTCAACACAGACATGAAAGACCTAGTCTGTGCCCATCCTTACGATTAGCGAGCTCTTACTCTGTGCAGAGAAGGGACTACAGGCACTTGGGGCAGAGAAAAGCAAAAGGCGTTTGCTCTCTTCCCGTGAGCCCTCACCCGCTGTGACAGACCAGGCTGTGAGTGAGGGTCTGTGGTCTCCCTCAAGCACCACAGCTGTGGACGGCCTTGCTCTCGGCACATGCCCTGAGCAGGGGGGAGCTGAGGCCGCCTGCTGCAGGGTGCGTGGCAGGATGGGGGCGCTGGAGCTCCTCTGCACCTTCCCCTCCACTGCTTGGGGGGCCGGGAGCCATCAGATCTGGGGGCCACCGCTGAGGCTTCCTGCTGGCTCTCCAGCTTTTCTCTTCACCAGCTTTCCTCCCCCCATGCACACAGTCCCTTGGTCTCTGGGGCCTCTTTTCTACTCTAATAGAGTCCGGAAGCTTCTCTCAGTCGTCATTGAGGGCAAAGAGCTTCAGTTACATGGTTTCAAACCTTTTTCTCTGTGGAATGGGAGGACTGCTCAGACTCGTGGTTGAGTCTGTCCCATTGCCAGGGCTGGCCCTCTCTGTGCTGACCACAGCATGGCTCTGTTAAACCCGTCTTGGTGACAAATGCCCCGGTAGCCTCGGCAGAGCTTTTCTACAGGAATTGAGGAAGCTGAACCTGATGGAGATGCCGTGGCCTACAGGGACTGTGGGCATCTACACGCCCTTTACACAGGGTCCGTGGACCCCAGAATGTGTCTAGGGCATGCGGGGTATCAGGGACCTGAGAAGACCTGGGAAGGCTCCTGAGGAAGCATCTGTGTCTCCTTCGGCAGCTTAAAGAGAAATGTTATTTGTGAAAGCTCAAAGGTGTTTTTTGCCTGGAGAAGTGACAGGAAGGATAGTGGAGGGCTGTTTGAGCTCAGGATTTAGCCCGAGTAGACATTGGAGTCATCACACCGCTCCTTACCTGGTGTGTACTTGACCTCAGAACCCTAAGGCGCTCTCCAGGGGGGCACTGATCGTCTTGCTGTCTTTTTGGAAGCAGATCATCATTTTGTTGTTTTTAATTCCTGTAACTTTTTTGGTGGAAAATCCTACCAGATTTGACACAGAAAAGGAAGGAAAACCACATGTATCCTGTACTTACACTTGCGCCAGAGCTTTTTGGTTTATTTTTATTTTTTTCTTTTAACTAAGTATGGAGTTTAGAGCAAATAGGAGTTCTCCTGGTCGAACCCACACACTCGCAGGAATAGTTCTTGAGGCAGCCTCTGGCGAGAAGGGAAGAG